TTTTTTTTTTTTTTTTTTTGGGAAAAGAATTCTCTTTGTTTTTCTAATTTTACTTGTATATTATATTTACATATGGGACCATAAATGTAGGTCATTTCTTAATTTTATTGTTTCCTTCAATGTCTATAGGTGAGAGGAGCTGCTATGATGAAGGAAAAAGGACTGCTGAAACCTTAACAATGGATTATCATAGAGGTGCTGGTGTTGAGGTAATTACTCTGTTTTCATGCTTAGACTAAAATGATGGTCAAGATATTGATATAAAAAACTTGAATAGTAATTTTTCATTTCTCAGCAGAAACACATAATAATCCGTCATAAATCTGTTTGTTTGGGACACCTACATCTGGAATTGCTCATAATATGCTAGAGGAATATCTATCAGTAATATTATCTTCAAAAGAATACAAATTCAATAAACTCTCTCTCTCTCTTTCTCTTTCTCTCTCCCTTCCTGCTGCCAATGTGGATGGGCAAAGGAATTCTCTTGACTTTGTTAACTTCTGTGGAAAATCATCAATTAGGTGTTTGCCCATAAGATTCAGGATTTTAGAGTTTTTACAAAGGTGCCTTTAAGCCATGACACAAAATGGGTGAATGATGTGATGTGTCATTGAAGTTCTTCCAAGTGGGCAAAGCGGCCATAAAAAACCTAACCAGTGGTAATGTTGCTGATGTCTGTTATAAGTTAGTTGTGATCAGAGCTTGCCATTTTTAACTGATTTTGGGTTAAAGGATCAGCTTCTAATTATTTGACACAGGGTACTTTTTGGTTATTCTATATTAAATCATGTTTGCCTGACTGCCTGAGCATTGTGAATATTGGATATGGAAGCAATGAGAGACTTGTACAAGTTTTTATTTAGTGAAAATGCTTTCTGTTTTCATAATGTTGTGAGAATATCATTCATAATGTTTACGAAGGTGAGACAAAACCTGGCCTTTTTGAACAATCTTATACAAGTTCTAATTTGGTGAAGATGCTTGCTTTTTTCAGGTCAGAATTGCTCGCATTTTTAACACATACGGGCCTCGCATGTGCTTGGATGATGGACGTGTTGTTAGCAATTTTGTTGCCCAGGTTCACACTTTTGTCTAACTAATTATGCAGCTTATTGTTCATGTGTTGGATAATGGCATATTTCCAGGAAGACCTATCATCAAATTAGATTCTTTATTAACTTCAGCTATGTTTTGCAGGCCATTCGTAAGCAACCAATGACTGTTTATGGTGATGGGAAACAAACACGAAGCTTCCAGTATGTTTCTGATTTGGTAAGACATATAATTATGTAAGACTGATTATTTAATCTTGCGAACTCTCAGTTTGCTTTTTATTTCCTGATTTTCCTCTCATGATGCTGCTACCTTTTGACTGGATCAAGGACAATATGGATAGCAAAAATGTACTCATTTTGATGGTTAAAGTGTGAAGAAATATGAAAATTGAAGGATAGAAGTTAGAATCCCGGCTTACTTTGTAGTTAAATCTGTTGAAATGAGAGTGGTGAGGGATACATAACCTTGGCGTAACTTCCATATTCCTCAGTTTCAGATATTAGTTACCTAATTTCTCTTCTAATCACTCCATATGATTCTCCTCGTTTTTGTGTGGAGTCTTCAACTCCATTATAATGTATTTTTCCCACCCTTTTCTTGGCAAATTTTTTGGGCCTTGTGAGGAGTATATAGAGGCTAATAAAAGTAGTTTTTATGGCCTTGTTGCTTAAATTGTAAACTTCTTTTATAACTCCTTCAAATCCAGCATATGAAAATAATCAGCTGTGAGTACTGTGGAGGACTTAAGGTCACTGGTCAACTTTAAAGAAATAAGGCATGAAGTATCCATGAATTAGATACTGAAAATGTGAAAGAGTCTGTTAATTTAAGAACTTCGTTAATTCATGCTACTTCAATTTGAGACAATTTGGGATCAATGACAGGTGGATGGACTAGTAGCTTTAATGGAAGGAGAGCATGTAGGACCTTTCAATCTGGGTAACCCAGGAGAGTTCACTATGCTTGAGCTTGCTGAGGTTTGTCTTCTTCCATATATTTTCTATCCTTTAAAGTAAAGGCCCTCCCCAGATCTCAGCGTCTATATGCATGTTCCAATTTCATTTTCTCACAATATGCAGGTTGTCAAGGAAACTATTGATCCAAGTGCAACAATAGAATTCAGACCAAATACTGCAGATGATCCACATAAGAGAAAACCAGATATTAGCAAAGCAAAGGAGCTTCTTAACTGGGAGCCAAAAATCTCTCTGAGAGAGGGGTTGCCACTAATGGTCAATGATTTCCGAAATCGCATCTTGAACGAAGATGAAGGAAAAGGGCTTTAAATGAAAAGGACAACATATCAAGTTTGTACAGTGTAAAGAGCATCTTTATTTTGTTAATTCGTTTTATTATTATCATTCTTATTCTGTATTACGCGATAAATATAACTGTCCAACACTAGTTCCACAACAGTTCTGTCCGCCACCTACAGTCTGTGCTTTATTAGCATAATCTACAATTTTTGTTGAGCTTCTGCTGTCCTGTTCCTTAAAGCTGCCTTTCTTAGGTATACAGTTTTTTGTCACATGAAAGTCAATAGAATCATAGCAGATGCTCAGGTTTTGCCGTGCCATTTTAGTCATGGGGGGTTAGGTCTGTGTGAATTATTGCCTTTAACGGGCCTCATTTGGTCTTGGACTCTTGGTTACTCATTATGTAAAGTTACTTTTTCCACTAGCAATAAGATTAAGATCAGTTTTATCTTTCTTGTTTCTTCCTTTCTTCTTCTTCTTTTTTCGCCTAACTTTGTTTATGCCGCTCTTGTTTATGAAGAAAGAGAAAGGAAGCGTCACACTTCATATTACATCTCTGGTATGATGTATTATGTGTTCTGTCAAATGAGAGCAGATCAACCAAGGGTTAGATCATTCATGCTTTTTTTGGGAAATAAAGATCTGTCATGCTGCTCATCCCTTTCGGCGTCACGGGTCCCCATCAATTTAGCCAACCAGGTATGTAGAATAAAGATCATCTCCTTTAGAAGGAGGTGGGGATGAGATGTGACCTCCACATTGGACACTTGGATCAGGGACCATAGCCAAGACTAAAGAAGAGTAAAAGTGGCTTGCCTAAACCCAGGCCAAATTTTCTCACAGCCTTCCTTTTCTGACCATATTATTCATTCATATTTATTTTTGCACCCTGAATGCCATGTTCAAGTAATAGTCTAACACATATGTTGGACCCATATAAGATTTTTTTCTAAGTATAGGTAGGAAAATATTAGAGAATTGATCCATAGGGATATTATCAAGGAGGAAAAAGAAAAAGAAGATTAGAAAGCAAGATCCAGGCATCTGATTCCACAAGCTTATGAAGAAGAATTTGAATTGAAATGGACATGAAAGTGCCTTTGTGTTTCATCCATCCAGAGGAAGAAAAGAAAATTCCAAATTAGCCTTTCTTTTATCTCTCGGTATATGTTCCATTAGAATCTAAATAATGTGAATGCCTCAACAGCTGGACCTGCTACTATGTTACTCCCATGAATATTTCATCTATATGTTTCTGTAAAACATAATAATGCAAAAACATGGTAAGGAATGGGCTCCAGGACCACTAGGTAAATCTTCTGCAACCACAACTACCACATCAATGGCGACCTAAACCCTGGCTGGGAAATAGCGGAAGAGAGATAGCAATTTCCATGAATTAAACCCTTTATTTCCCCCCAGTGTTCTTCATGGAGACTGGTTGTTTTCCCTGTAGTCCCTTCTACTGACAAAAGTCATTAATGTTTTACACCAACCAAAGTAGATATGTTGGGCACAAGGGCTAAATATGAGTAATGAGTTGATTAATGTTATTGGTAACATCACAAAATCAGAATTTAATGCCAAAAACCAAGATGGTTGGCATTGTACTTAAATGTTACCAACACCATGATGGTTGCATTGTACTTAAATGTTACTAACACGAAGCTGATACAATCTGACCTAAAACGAAACCTTACAATAATTACTTGACATTAAATTAAATTGATAGATATATATTGACTCTGGTGTTTTTCAAATAGAAAAATCAAACATAATTACTATTATTATCATGTAAAATAGTATTGGAAGTGTTTTAAAGTGATTAAGAATTTGAAATTATAAGTTATAGATTTTGAATTAAAATCTTGAAATAGGTGAGGAGGCTATGTACTTGTTGTATTGTGTAACTCATCATCTAATATACCAAAAAAATTATCATCTAAGATAGTGTGACTGAATTATTTTCCAATTTATTATGTTATGCCATCTTCAGATGAATGGCATTAGCACCATCAAACAGCTCTGGTGTTCCTCAGTGAATTTACCGTTGCTCTGTCTCATATGTGTCTTAGCTTTCTTTTCAAAAGTTAAATTCACAGACAACTCCCTGTGTGGTAGGCCATGCTCATCGAACCAAAACAGGATATTGTAATTTACATGAAACAAAGGTTTATTAATGCTTGAAAATCAATAAAAGTTCTCAATCCCACTAATTAAATATGTTTGTCAGATACATTCGCCTATGTTTTGTGCAGTTGCCCTAACTTAAACACTAAATTTCTTTTTGAATCCCAGATTTTTAATTGATGTAACATTCTTCTACTTACTTGAACATCAATTAAAAAATTCATAAAAAATTATATCTATGTTATCTCTTTAATTAAAAGTTAAACTTACCAACAATTTAAATGATTCAATAATAATATCTTTTTAATAGAAATAAAAGTTTCTTTTAAGTTCGAGTTCCGGTTATATGATATGTATATGTTAAGTAATGTTAGCAAGTTAAATATTTATCAGTAGTAGTGGAGCAAATCATTTTCAAGATATTTTGATTTCCTTTTGGAGAGGGTAACTGCATATATGTAGGAGAAGCTTCCATAGGGTACTCTAGATGCTCTGTGCTTTTTCTTTTGCATGGAATTTTAGTTTTCTATCTCGCTCAAACATAAAAGCAGAGCAACCAGCTTTCTCATTGGAAGTTTTCCTCCCTCTTTCTTTACAGATTCAATAATCAAATAAAGATGAAGAGAATGGAAATTTTCTGTGCATCTCAGGCTTCAACAGCCATATGCTCGAGCATGGACCCAGCTTCCTCCTCCTCCTACTCATCCACCATTCAGCTTGGCGGCAGAGCCATCGATCGCCACAACCCCATCATCAGAGACTCAAGAAGATTCACCAGAAAGGGCCTCCCGGTTAACCCCTGTGTTTCTCATCCTCAACACATTGACCCTAAACCTTATCAGTATCATCAACTTCAAAAGACCAAGAAGAGCTCTTCCGGCAAACAAAATGATAAAAAGGCCAAGAAGAGTTCTTCTTCTTCGGCTATCTCTGTTGATGAGAAGAAGAAGAAGAAGTGCTCTTTGAAGAAAACAGATGCAATTACCAGGAAGAGCTTTTTGGACGCCGGAAAGCGAAATGAGGCAATTTACAGGAAGAGCACTTTTGAAGCTAGAGACAAGGTGGTATCAGCCAGGAAGAATTGGGCACTACCGGCAGATTTAGTTACTCCGCCGGGCTCCACCAGGTATCTTCTGAGCGATACAGGGTTTTTTGATGGAATAACAGATAATGACTCGGTTATGACATTGGCTCCTTTTGAACCTAAGAAGAATCAATCTTTAAATCAAGATGAATCCATTGCACCAAAACACTCTTCATCTTCTCGAGTAGAGAAGCCTTCCCAGGATCAGGTATGATCTTTCCTCTGTTTCATTGCGTCATTTCATCGAACACTTTTAGACCTCCATGAAAAACTCAGATTTCTGATTAATTCTCTCAGGTTGTGATTCTGAGGGTTTCGTTACACTGCAAAGCCTGTGAAGGAAAAGTAAGGAAGCATCTATCAAGAATGGAGGGTATGAAATCTTCATCATACATAGCCAATTTTCATCTTATTTTAATTCTTCTCTTGGTGTCAGAAAAAAAATTCAATTCTTCCAATTATCAACATACTTATTATTGGTGTTTCTTGATGATGATTTTTGCAGGGGTGAGATCCTTCAACATAGATTTTGCGGCGAAGAAGGTGACAATTGTAGGAAATGTGACACCATTATCAGTGCTAGCCAGTGTTTCAAAGGTGAAGAATGCACAGTTCTGGTCATCAGCCATGGCTTCTTCAGCTGCTGCAACACCAGCTTCTGCATCAAGCAATCTGGCTGCTGCTGCAATCAAGTAATAATGGTGGTATTTCAACCTTGAAAAGAAATCCAAGTATGGTGTGTATGAATGAGATAATTTAGTGTAAATTGGAGTTAGCGTTTGCAGGCCCAGTGAAATAAAAATCTTTGTTGCTTAGGATAATAATAAGGAAAGCAGTAGGGTTTGGTTTTTCTTTTTATCAAAACTCTGATGTTTCAGGTATGTATTTTCTGAAACTCATGGCCCATTCTCACCATTCTGCTCCCTTCCCCATAGTTTTGCCACTATATGCACCCATGCCTTTGTGCTTCCCTATAACATATTCTCTTCTAGGATTTTTATATTTAGCATAATTAATCAATTCTCCCATTCTCCCTCTAAATAATGGGTTCAGCCTTGGTACATAGTTTGAAAAACTAAGATGTCTGAGAAGTTTTGAGTTTAAATTTCTGTATTTTGGATGGATATAATGAGTGCACATATATATTTTTTTTAATATGAGAGAATTTCGAGAAATGAAAATTTTACTTTAAGTAGTTGATAAGAGTTGAACTTTCAATCAAATAAATTCAAATACTAAAATTTAAAGATAAATTATTGGATCAAAATGTTCAGTTCAATGAGTGGACATACTTACTTAAATAGGATTTGTGAAAGTTTAATGAGGTGCTTATGCTTGGAGCCAATTATGGCTACCAATTATTTGATGTTGACATTGAATAGGTTGCACATGGCAAAAATAATGGCTACCAGAGTGGTACTTGAAAGAGGACAGAAGCAAACTCAGCAATTACTTTTATCCTTAGGTAGGGTATCAAAATGGTTTCAACATATCTGCCTTGGAGACCATAGGTTGGAGAATGTCCTGAGGATATATTATAAAATTCGTGTCTAGTAACAGTGCTTAAAGTAGTGTTTAAGGACTTGACTAAAATTCTTTGAATAGATATTTTGACTTCCTTAGCCTGATAATAAGCCCAATTCTTCAAGCTTGATAAAGGCTTTGTTCCATTCGTAGGAGCCCACTCCAGAGTCAGAACAAACTCATGCTAAGTCCATTCCTTTATTTGAACAATTGAAAAGTTTGAAATTCTCTTAAGGTTGATAAAGGCTAATGGATCCTATTATTTCATACTTTTTTTTTTTTTTTTTTTTCAGCATTAAAGTATAATTTACAGTGATGAAATTGTGCATGATCTTAATCCTATCTAGAAGTATGAGATTACGACATCATCCAGTGAAAATTACATTATGGAAGTTGATACATGTACAAATTTATTTCACAATTAAGGGTATGTTTGGTATAATTGTTTCTTTAATCTATAGCACCCTTTTTTTTAACAACTGATTAAGATCTTTAGAAATATATTAGTTTATAAACTAATTTTAAAATAATATTAACTATTTTGTTAATTAATAACTAATAATTAAAATTATTAACGGTTAAAAATAGTCAAACCATACAAAATCTAAATCTCTTAATATTTGCACACCGACATGATATTAATTAATAAATAAATAGATGCACATGCATGTCTTTCACTAAATAGCATTATTTGATTTGTTTTTCAGTAATATATAACATCACAAGTAATTTAAGTATAATATAACAGTATCAAATATATGTAAAAGTTGATATATATTAACCCAAAAATAAAATGTAATATATAGCATTCACGGTATAAATTTTTGTTGGTAGTTTTTTTATATTTATATAATCAATAGCAACTCTTTTTTACTCTTTAATTTACTAGAATTACATATTACGTAACTCCAATTTAAAACTTTCTATTTTTACAAGAAAAGAATTACTAATTGATCACCAAAGTTGTTAGCTATTGTTACATACTAATTTTTGATAATGAAAAATCCTTCCTTTATTTTCAAAATTTTTACTCACTCAACATAGAGTTTCAAAATGAAACTCTTAACTTAAATTTTTAAGTTTTTAATTACACTCTCTAATCTCTATATCGCAAAATAATTCTTGTTTTTTTAGGCCTTGGCTAGTTGGCTACCCAAGAGTAGTTCTAATAATGAGCCTAATCGTTTAATTACAAAATGGAAATTTAGTAGTATTAGAGAAATTAAATGTGGATGACAACACCAACAATATCTGTTCATAAAAAATGGAATATTGATATTTAAAGAAATTATTTTATTTATCAATGATTTAAGTAGTTTAGTGGTTATTTTCTTCTGTTAGAAATAAAAGATTTTGAATTTGACTCGTGTGGTATGCGAATAGAGTGAGATAAAAGATAAAAAATGGAAGATAATTGTCTTTCATTGTATAATCAAGATCAACAAAAAAAAAATATTTTCCCTCGTTAATTCAAAAATTTTCTTTTAACTTTGTCACGCGGTGAGCAATTGGTGTCCATTTAAACACATGAAATCTTTTGTTTGATTAAAATCCAAGATAAGTTTTTAATTTATTAAAGTAAAATAAACCCTATCTAAACTGAGTTCCCACTGGCCCAAAAAAATAATAATAATTTGAGTTACCAAACTTTTACATTTTTTAAATTAAGTACCTAAAGAATTTTTTAAGTCAATTAAATTTTAGACTTTCAACTTACTAATTACTGTATATTTTTCTGCCGTCTACTAAATTGATTGTTTGAGTCAAAAATTAAAAAACTCTTAGTTAATAAAATAAAATTAATTTAACACATAAATTAAGTAATTTTAAAGTTATAATTTACCAACGTATTTTTCTAATATGTATCTTAATATACAATAAATATATTTTTTCGTCATAAATTTATATTAAAAGAATAAAAATTTACTTTTAATTTATCAATTATCTAATTAAATTTATTTACTTAACACAAATACTAAAATTAATGTCAGATTTTTTATATTTTTTATTTGTACTTATAACAAAAAGATACTTTTAACTTGTATATACCCTTGAGATATATATTAAAAAAACCCTTTAATATATTATCAAATTATTAGTTTAATGGATACTAATTATGTTGGAATGGCATTATAAAAATAAAAAAAAAAACTGGAATGGCCTTTTAATTTAACCATTTCAGCCAAATGAATTTAATTAATTAATAAAAAATTTTTAAATCAGAAAATCTTGATCAAAATAATAAAATTATTATAAAAAAAATTTAAATTCCACAACATCAAAGCCTTGCTCTCACGTCTCCTCAACTAACAAATTAGTGCTTCAAACATTTCATGGTGCGGTATAAACCATCACTTGTTGATGCATGATCTTTCAAGAGCACTAGAATGGGGGGATTATGTCATGCATTATTCGCGACTCTTGTGCGCTATTGTAAGTAATTTTCTTATAAAAATTATAACTTATTTACACAATGATTTAGTTAGATATATAAAAAATAATTTTTATTGATTATTTAGTCCAATAGAGAATAGAGGAAAACAATTTTTCCTCAATAAACTAACCAAACCTTAAGTATTAATTAAGACCAATTTATATTAACAAGAGTTTGATTAAATTGGTATTCATTAAATTAAAAATTTTGATTTAGGATTAAAGTTATGAATTTAAATATTTCTAATATCGATTAGCTTATCTCTTGATATACCAAAAAAAAAAAAAAACCACAATTTAAGGAGTTTAATGGCCAAAATAACAAAAATGAAACAATAAATGGTCTTAATAATCAATTCTATAAAATTGAAGGGTTAATTTAAAAACCAAGTCATCTGAGCTATGTACTACTTACACATGATAGAATAATAGAATTCTAATTAAAAAGTAAAACCGAATCCCACGTCTCCCCTATAAAATCTCCACTTTATAGATAATTTGTTATTCTTTTGAATTTCAATTTTTCTCTCCATATATCATCATCCCTCTCTCAACTCTGTCTATTTGCACTCTTAACTCTCCCCCCTAAACCCTTGTCTTCACAATTTTTTTCTACCTTCCCCTGTCTCCTTTGATCTCTTCTATTGCTCCGATCGAGCGCCGCCGTTGACATGACTTCTCCCCCGCCTTTCCACCAGTACGACAACCAAGACGACCCCCTGGCCCTAACCCTTGGTCTTCCCCACAGTTCTTGGACGACAACGCCTGTGCCGCCCCCACAACAAATCACAATTCCACCGGTAGCTTCCTTTCAATCACAGCCACCCTATGGGTTGGTATGGACACGCCCATATCTTCCTGAGTATTCATCTCAAATGGAGAACCCTAATCTTGCTTTCAATCAAGATATGGCGGGACCTTCTTCTCGCTCGCGTCAGGGACGTAGAGCCCGCAGTAAGACTCGTGGTGATGGGAAAAGCGAAACCATACCTCCGTCATATCCATGGGCACAGAACCGGCGATCCATGATTCACAGCCTTGAGTATCTATTGTCTAAGGGAATAACTAAGATCTCAGGCGAAGTTAAGTGCAAGAGGTGCGACAAACAATATGAGATGGAATACGATTTGGTGGAGAAGTTCAGGGAAATTGCTTTGTACATATCGAGGAACAAGAGCAGCATGCACACCCGGGCACCCTCAGAGTGGATGAATCCGACACTGCCAGATTGTGAAATGTGCGATCAGAGCAACTGCGTGAGGCCAGTTCTTACTAAGAAAAGATCGATAAACTGGCTATTTTTGCTGCTTGGGAAAATGTTGGGGTGTTGCAAGCTCTCGGAATTGAAGTACTTCTGCAAGCATACTGAGAATCACAGGACAGGGGCTAAAGATAGGGTTCTTTATCTTACCTATTTGGGATTGTGCAAACAGCTAGATCCCTCCGGACCTTTTGATATTGATCTTTGAATATCAATTTTTAATCATTAGTCCATTATTTTCTAGGTTCATAATTGTTCTAGTCCTGGATTTCAATTTGGGATTTAATAGCTGTTTAATGTAGACTTAGTAAGTTTTATGGATTTTGCCCTTTTACTTTCAAATGCTTTTAAATTGGTAGTCATTTGGTGGTCTTTGATTTTGCACTGATGGTTTTGTGTACTCAATGTTTGTTAAAAGTTGTGCATTTTCTATTTTTCGGTTTAAAGATTGATTTTTAATCAATTCAACTAGTTGTTTATGATATGAAATTTTGAATATTTTTGGAAAGCATAGATTACTCGAATGTGGGTTCAACCAAATCTGCTGGATTCTATGGTTAGCTTTAAAATTTTTGAATACTCTATGTCAGCATAATCCTAATCACGATACTTTATGGGAATTAAAAACAAGCTTGCAACCTGTTCGAACCCAACCAGCCATGCATCTACGCCATATTCCTCCTTTTTACTATAGCTAAAATGTAATAGTAGAAAATAATTTATTTACATATAAACCTTACATATTATATTTATATAAAATTTTGATCATTTATGTATCTAATTTTAATTATAATTATTAAAATTTATTTATTTTTTATTATATTTATTATATTTTTATTTAAAATGTTATAATAAATTTTAATCATTAAAAATAAAGAGATGAATAATCAATAATTTATATAAATATAATGTTTAAAATTTGTATATATTTTTATATTTTTTACAAAATAATTATCATTTAACAAGGGCCTAATTATTAAGAGGATAAAATAAGTGTATTTTTAAGGTTTTTTTTTTTTTTAAGGAAGGGACTTTTTTATTCATGAAATTTATTTGGTTTCACTATACAATAACAATAGGGCGGAATGGAATACTTGCCTCTAGGGCCTAGGAGTTTTTGTTAGAAAAGGTACAAATAAAGATATTAATTTTATATTTTTATTTAAAATGTTATAATAAATTTTAATCATTAAAAATAAAGAGATGAATAATCAATAATTTATATAAATATAATGTTTAAGATTTTTATATAAACAGGTCCATTCTCATAAAAATATATTGAAATAACTGACACCGCAAGAAACATTCCAAAAATACCATAGAGACCCATTGTCTTTGTCCCCTCCAATTGAGTCAAAAGACTACAACTAGAAGGTCTAAAACAAAAAGATCCAAACTGATCTAACGAAAAAACAGCTAAAATGAAAACAACTCGATTGACGACTGGGCAAAATTTCACTAATCCCTACTTGACCTATTGATTTTTCCACAAAAAAAAAAAAAAAATCTCACGAACTTTCAAGTGGGGTTTAGGCCCAATGTTAAACTTGAAATTTTATTGTCCATTATGATAGAATTTTAGTTGACAAAACATGTTGGATAAAACATTGTGATTTTTAAAGGAAGTTGAGATTAAGCTAGAAAAGCATTCATTCAAAATAAAATTAACTCAATTTTTTTATGAGAGAAATAACTCATTTGAAAAGTTGAACTTTTTCATTTGCGGGGACTA